CAATTATAGGTCCGCTTCACGTTTCTCTAAATAGCAGAGAACAAAGTGTTAATAACTTACAGTATTATACTTATTTTGATAAGCTATTTCACTTTGTATTTGGAGGAAAAAAAAAAGGCAGCCCCATCTTTACGCTAGTAGCTTAAAATAGTATTTCTTAGAATTATGTAGAACTCTTATAATACTGAACCACGATTAATATAACTTTGTCTTAGCTATAATTTAATGACTTGGAATTATTTAGTTTTAACAAAATAACCATGTTGTTAATCAAATTTGCAACCAATCAAAATATAAATTATATATTTTATTTATTTATTTTATCACTCGTTTTACATGTTCACATTCTAACTGTTAGTAATTACACATGCTAATTCACTATTTATATGATTTATATTTTATATTCGCATAGACTATCTTGTTATATACAAAGCATGATGGAGCTAATTTAATTTACAAATATGATAAAAAATTTAGAATGTGATCAAATACTGTAAGTATTGGCAAATGATAGTATTATTAAGCTTAGGCTTTTTTACGTAGTATTGATCATTTGTATACAAGATGGGAAAAGATAAAAAAAGCTATTAACTAGTTGCAATATAATGATCATCAAGAAACATTTTTTTCCTATAAACACATTCTTCGCAGTGAAATGAAATGTAGCGGAATGATCAAACGCATGAGCATAAGCCTGAGCATGGGCCATTGGCATGAGCACGATCAAGATCAAAGAACATGGGTATCTAGTTTATTCAAATTCGTTACATCTTGATTTCCTCCTATAGGGGAACGTTAAAGTCAGGTACGTACGTTAGGGTTGATGTAATAAGTAGTTTTATTTATATATAGATATATATCTAGAATAGAATTTTTGCAATATATAAACGCATCTGGCTTTAAAGACCCTCTTCTACGTATAGGCAGTTTTTCGCCAAAATTGTAAACAAAGTACAATTCTTGATAAGGATGCCTATATGCGTTATACAAATCATTTAAATCAAGAAAATAAAGTTCTGTTATATTTATTAGAAAATTAACTAATATTCTTTTATTTTATTAAGTTTTTAATATTTATCGCGGTTTTCGAAATGGTAGAAATGAGTAAAAAAAAAAAAATTTCTTTAGTATACCTGTATACTGCATATACTCATATACCGGATTACCTTAGCACGTTGCGTACTTATTGTTTGAAACAATAAGTAAAATCAGGTATCGATCTTTAATCAATATGCTAAGGTATACAAGTATATGGGTATACTCGAAAAAATTTTTTTTATCCATTTTCAACCATTTCGAAAACCGCGATAAAAATAACGATTTTTTTAAATCTTTTGCTATCAGTCAATTCTTTCATCAAATCTATATATAATATTTACAATGCTTCTCAAATATTTTTATTCTTTTACGTTGGTTTATAGTTAGTATAAAGCTATTAATTCGTTGATAATTTAGCTAGATTCATAGCTCTTCTATCATTTTGTTTTTTTTTGTACAAATACAATATTAATATATAGGATCCAGTAGTTTTATATATTGGCAACTTGATAATTAAATTTTTTGAATAATGGTTTTTAAAAATGTACATATTTATTTGGTACGCATGAAATTTGTATTTCACTTTTAAATTTTTTATTGAGTCGGCATATTTTGCTTAAGATTTCATATAAAGTGCAATATATTATGATCAATCAAGTGCACTTATAACTACAGATGTAAAAGGTAAATTCCTATCACATTAACGTATGTGGATATGATAATAACTTTACAAGAAAAATCAAGAAGAGTTCTTGCCAATTTACTAGATATATTTAAAAAAAAAAAAAAAATAGACCTAGAGAATATATAAAAAGCATGCCAACTAAGCCAACTATACTAAAAATAAATATAAGGATTGGAACCGTTTAACCACATAAAAATTTATTCATACCAAACTATAATTTATTTTTCTTTTCCAAGGACATTTTCCAGGCATCTCTATTTCTTAACCTATCCCACCATTTTTTAACATTAGGTCTTTTATCCCACAGATCAGCATGAGTAGAATAGATAAAATGTGTACAAGGACAATAAAAAAGATCAGCTAAAGAAAATTCACCATTTAAATATTCTTTTCCTTCTAAAAGCTTGTCAAAAACATCTAAAATCTTATTAATATCCTTAAGGGCTTGCTTAATTATTTCAGACTCCGGAGTTCTTAAAACTAATTCATAATATACGATTTTTGAAGCCGGTGGTTCATAATAAAATGCTTCATAAGAGATGAATTCTTCAACTAATCCAGCTTCGTGAATATCGTTAGGGATTAAGATCGTATTATTATATTTGCCTTGGTATTTAGATACTAAATAACGACAAATTGCGCGAGATTCGGCAATTTTATAATCTCCATCATGGAGAACTGGAATTTTCCCACTATAATTAATATTATAATAGGTTAGTAATTATATATCGACAATAAGCAATGAATTTTAGGGGAGTAACACTTATTAGTAGTGTTACAAATCGAAAGTTGAAAAAATCGATTAGTTGGTTAGTTGACAACTAATCGATTGAACTTTTTAGATAC